TTCAAGAACTCTAACCACCTTCTCTGCCTCATATTAAATTCTTTCTGGTCAAACAAATACTTCAAGCTCTTGTGATCACTAAACACTTCGAATCTCGACCCATACAAATAATGTCTCCATATCTTCAATACAAAAGCAACTGCATCCAATTCAAGATCATGAGTATGATAGTTCCTCTCATGCACCCTTAATTGCCGCGAAGCATAAGCCACTACTTTACCATCTTGCATTAACACCCCGCCTAAGCTCAGCTTGGATGCATCACAGTATACCACAAACGGTTCGCTCAGACTTGGCAACACTAACATTGGGGCTGAAGTTAATTTCTTTTTTAACTCTTCGAAACTTTCTTCACACGCCGCATCCAAAACAAAAGCTTGATTCTTTCTAGTCAACCGAGTCAATGGCAACGCCAAGTTAGAAAACCCTTCAATAAATCTTCGGTAATAACCTGCCAAACCCAAAAAGCTTCTAATCTCAGTTGCTGTCTTCAGAGGTTCCCATTGAAGTACTGCACTTATTTTAGATGGATCCACTGCTATACCATCACCCAAAATAACATGTCCTAGGAAACTCACGGTCTCTAGCCAAAATTCACACTTCGAGAACTTTGCAAACAATTCATTATCCTTCAACACCTGCAACGCAATTCTCAAGTGTTCCGCGTGATCCTCTTCAGATTTAGAATAAATCAATATGTCATCGATAAATACCACAATAAACTGATCTTGGTAAGAATGAAAAATACGGTTCATATACTCCATAAACACACCCAGCGCATTAGACACTCTGAAAGGCATCATTGCATATTCGTAATGTTCGTAGCGAGTTCTAAAGGAAGTCTTTTGAATATCCCCCTCCTTTACTCTAATCTGATGGTAACCCGACCTCAAGTCAATTTTATTGAATACCCGGGCACCAACAAGCTGATCCATTAAGTCAAGCGGATAATTATTCTTAATTGTCACTTTATTCAACAGATGATAATCGATACACAAACGCATACTACCATCCTTCTTCTTCACCAATAACACTGGAGCTCCCCACAGCGACACACTCGGCCTAATAAATTTCTTATCAAGCAATTCACCAATCTGAGCCTTCAACTCTGCCAATTCTGATGCAGACATCCTGTACGGCGCCATAGAAATAGGCCTAGTACCATGAACAAGATCAATAGTAAATTCAACTTCTCTCTTTGGAGGCAACTCAATAATATCATCAGGAAACACTTCAAGAAATTCATTCACCACCGGTAACTCTTCAATTGATGTTTTGCTCTCAACCGATAGTGAAGCAAACACAACAAACATATTAGCTTCATCCTCCACCAAGATCCTCACCTCCTAAGTAGATAGCGAATTAGCCAATTCTTCCTCTTCAGGAGTAAGGAACAACAACCTCTTCCTAAAGCAGTTGTCGTACCCCAAATTTGTCTTACCTCGATAATTCTGTTCTTCGAGATTAAAATAAAAGAAATATTAAGGATGGTACATCAGTATCTGATGACCCATTTTTATCTAAAAAAGGGGGTGCATTTTAAAAGGTGGGCTTTCTAAATCGGAAAGACTCATAAATATGTTCGCGACGCATGTTGGCCCATGACCCATGCAATTCAAAATAGGCTATTAAATTCAAAAGAAATAATAAAATTATTACTAGGTTATTAAATTATAAACTCTATTTAAATTTAAGTTACGATTAATTAATAAGCGTTACGTAAGGGTTCATTAGGTATTATTGTTGTTAGTAGAAAGGAGAAGTGAAAACGTTAAATTTGAAGTCCATTAGACTTCGTTTGGCTCATTCATTTTAGGGTTTGAATAACAAAAATGGGGTATGTTTACAAGTTACAAAGTCCATTGGAGCTTAGCAGCCCATTTAAAGTTGGTTATTGTTTTGTTTTTAAGGAAAAAATATTATTGTTAAAAATGATGTTATTATTTTAAGAAAAAAAAAAGAAATAGACAATTCTACTGCTGGTAAACTTTTTCATTTATTATTATTAAAGGATGTTTGTTTTATAGGGAAAAGGACGTATAAGATAGTATTATTGTTAAAAGATTATTTTTATTATTAAAATATTAAGTTTGATTTATAAATTGTACTTATAAAAAAATTCAAACGGTACAGAAAGGCCAATTGGGCCAACTGTACTAAATTTTGTTTGTTGTAAAGAAAAAAGGACGTTGTTGGGCTGAGCAGGGGTTTTATAGCGCATGCCCAAACTAAATTAAAAAAAAAGCTACTATTGTCTGAACCAATAGAAGAGATATGCAGGATTTGTGGAAGCAACGAGTATTGTAGAAACCCACCTAAATTAATGCACCTTTTGCTGCTATTGCATGTACTGTAGGAATTAAATAGAATCTTTATCAAATCTCAGAATTGTACTCAATCAGTAACATCACAGAATCAGAAGATTATCAAATCTCAGAATCAAATTAACACAAAAGAAAATCTGCTAAAAAGTGCCATATCCAGAACATCACAAAATCCGATTGAATCAGTTTCGAACCTAAACCATTAATATTGCAGAACAAATCTTCTAACTCAGAAGGCTACAAGGGAAATCGCAGAATCAAATCTAATTAACAACCTGAATCACTAATATACAGAAAATTCAGATTAAACCCAAATCAAATCTTAGATTATACAAGATGAAAGCAATCCAAGTCTGAACAGAATCTGAAGATTCAATATATTACAGAATAAAATCCAATCAACTACATTAAAACAATGGGCTAAAACCTAAATCGAGGGGAACCAAATTGGTAACAAAAAAAAACCCTAGCTATATAAGAAAAGGGAGAAAGTCAGAGAGGGGGTCGAGGTTTTTTTACAGAGAAAAGACGAAGTTAGAAGTTGAGAGACGGAGGCGAAAGTTTGTACAAACCCTCACACTGAATATCTAGAAGAGAAAGTGATTAGAGTTTCCAGATCGGAAACCCTAATCACCTTCGAACGCCGTCGCTGCTTACCATCTCACTGTCCGCCACGCTTTCAACTACTCCATCACAGTCTCATCGACCACAACTTCCAAACTCCATATAACCTGAAAATCAGAGAACACAGAGGAGTATTAGTTCCAAATCCAGAAGAGCTCAGAGAAAGCAAGGTCGCGACAGCGTAAGGAACTCAACTTTTCTTGTATTTGTTGGGGAAGACGTAACCATAATGAGGACGATTGGTGAACTTCCTAACCAAATTCTTGTGTCATTCTCTCTCTATCTCTCTATTTTTCTCTCTCTCTCTCTCTCTCACTCATTTACTTTCTATTTGCAATTTATTAAACTTGGTGTTTAATTGATCAATTCGTATATAATTTTCTTTGACTGTGGAAGTTTGAATTGCTTTGTTGATCTTATTATAATCATTTTGATTGTAAGAGTTATTTTCAAATAAACAAAGTTCACAAAGAAAATCTGAAAAATTGATTGTGCGTCAAGTGTTTAATAAATTGTATTGTTCTGTTTTTGTATACAAATTGCATTGTGAATAAGCTGCTGAAGTGTATCATGTTAAAAGATTGATATTGAATTTGTTGTGTTCATTATTATTCCATTTGACTATTGCATATCTGAGTTTCAAATAACTAAGTTCGTTTAGACGACTCGTCGATCTAGACTAACATTCTTCCATGTAAAAGATATTTTTTAATTACATATTTTTGAAAGGAATTTTATTTGGAGAACTATTCACCTCACCTAGATTAGTCGTGGTGGTCTAACAATATCCACCAAAAATTTTAAGACAGTAAAATATGAATTACCTCTTTTATAAATCAACTATTTTCTCAATTCCTAATCAAAATGAGACTTTTAACACTTTCACACATGAAATTTAATACTAAATTTAGCGCTTACTATTTATCGGTGATTCCAATTGTGTCACACATGGGCGGATTCATTTAAAGCCACACTATTATTTTTTTCCATATATATATATATATATATATATATATATATATATATATATATATATATATATATATATATATATATATATATATATATATATATATATATACTAATCTCTCATTTTTTTTCTTCTTCTAATGATTTAAAATTCATACCGATTATTAAATTCATAAAGATGAGCCACTGATTTATAAATTTGTATGACTAAATTAGATTAAATCGAATAATTCATTTAAATGAATAAGACAACTCAATTGAATTAATTGACCACTATAATAAAACTATATAGTTATTAAATTGACTGAACCAGATGACTCAATCTTTAAAAAATTACGAACCTGTCATATTTCAAAATTTTAAAATATCATAGTTTACAAGTTTATTCTTTAAACTCAAATCCAAACATAATCATCACACACAACACAATATCACGCACAACAAAATTGTACAAAATAAATTTTAAACAATGTTTAATTGCAACATAAATTGAATAACAAAATAAGTGTAAGTGCAGTGTCTAATAAATTTAATTCTAAAAAAGAAAAGTTGTTCTGAATAAGTTTTAAACAAAGTCTATTTATATTTTAATTTAATTTAATTTAAAATTATCAAAACGATGTCGTTTTATCTGAGAAAGAAACAAATATTTAATCAGTGAGTTTTTCAAAATTTGTGATTCTCGATTTTTATCGATTTTGATCAATTATGAACGACTCTCACTTATTTAATAACTTATTCAATCCAGCAATCAAATCAGACCGATGATCTTTTCGGTTCTAGATTCGATTGACCGATCCAATTCAATTTTTGAAACACTATGACCACCTTTGAAATTTCTGTTTGACTTTTATATTTATTAAATCGAAATTCATTATAAATTTATTATTTTAAACAATATTTAATTTATATATTTTTGTATATTTAACCTTACCGATAGGTGATAGTTAGAATTTGAATGTAAAAAAAAAAAAAAAATTGAATAGATAATTATAGTTATAACAAGTTGTTGAATTCAACTCAAGTATTCCCATGATCTGATCTTGTTTTTGTTTTGTGTCCGACGTAATCAACGAAACAAAAATGAGAAAACGCAGCGCTTATACCTTAGGTATAGCTCTGATTTGCTTCTTAGTACTCATGATTCTAACCCCATCCATTCCTCAGTCCCAAGATTATCACAATTTTGCCGATCAACGCACCTTTTTCGGTAACTACTAACCCTAATTTCTATTCTGTTCATTCAACTTAGCTTCATTATGATTTTAGATTATCTCTTCATTGTTTTTTAAGGTATTCCCAATGCACTTGATGTCATATCCAATTTCCCTTTTCTCATTATTGGTTTAATTGGACTTGTTCTTTCTCATCATCGAAATTATTTTAACCTCAGGTACACTCTTTTTTCATTACTTATCTATCTACAAAAACGCCTCTCACTGCATTCACACTTATGATTACGTTCTCATAGGTTATTATTCATGATATTAATCTGTTTTCATGACATAAAGTTTGCAAGGTGAACTTTGGGGTTGGACATGTTTCTATGTTGGTGTGGCTGCTGTTGCTGTTGGATCTTCATACTATCATCTCAACCCAGATGATGCTAGGCTTGTGTGGGATAGGTTACCTGTGAGTATACTTGAAGTTCTAGAAGCAATTTATCATTGTTAAATTAATACCCCTTTTCCCTTTTTTATTTTATTTTATTCTTTGTGAATTTTAATTGCTAATCTGTTTATCGTTTCAGATGACTGTTGCTTTTACTTCGATCATTGCAATTTTCATCATTGAGAGGATTGATGAGAGGAAAGGAATGATTTCAATTGTACCTCTAATTTTGGCTGGTGTTATTAGCATTATGTATTGGAGGCAAGCTCACTGTCTTTTTTTATATTTGTTTCGTGCACAATATTTCTTTGGTTTATCTCATATTGTTATTGGAAGTTCAGTCATTGATGAAAAGCATATTTGTTTTTATTTATTTCACCTCTTGCTTGACTCATTTCCTTCTTTTACAAGTAACGACTTTTATTCTATATATAACTTTGTAAGCATAAAACTCACTGAAATCTGCAAATTTATTATCCATTTATTTATAGTCACATGAATGATCTATTGTGTAGAATCATTGAATGGTTCAGAGAATCAGAATGCCCGAAGTTAGAATAGTCCTTTTTAATGTTAGGAAAATGTGAAAGAGTCTCCTTAGGACACTTGTTAAGGAAACACATAAATATTATGTTGAAAAGTGTTCTTTCCAATGCAAAGTTTCTATATTTTGCTTTCTTAACTAGTGCTCTTAGGACACTTGTTAGCATGACCCTTAATATTATTATTCATTTATGTGGTATTCGTCTAGGGTTAACTGTAACTACTTGATCATTCAACTGAATTATCTCATGAAATAATTACCCTTGTCTTGTATTTACACCAGGTTCTTTGATGACCTCCGTCCATATGCTTTGGTCCAATTTGTACCACTCATTGCAATTCCAGTCATGGCTATTTTGTTGCCGCCAATGTACACTCATTCAACTTATTGGCTATGGGCTGCAGGTTTGTATTTGTATTACGGCACTGTTTCATCTCGAGATTAATTATGAACATCCACCAATCTTAGATTTTCTGTAAATTCTTTGCAGGATTTTATCTTCTAGCTAAGGTGTTAGAGGCCACTGATGACGTCGTCTACAAATGGACTAATCATATTGTCAGTGGTCATACACTCAAGCACTTGTTTGCAGCAATGGTTCCCGTATTCTTGACATTGATGCTTGCAAAGAGGAGTGAGGAACCAGAGAGGTATATCCCTGTCCCTAGCAGTTAAACTGCATATGATTGATGGACATACCTATAACCGAGTATGAATAGTGTGCAACAATACTTCCAAATTATGGGAATATGTAAGTTAACTCAGAATGAGTTGGCTTCAGGCTTAGGCCCTATGTGATTTATAAAAAGTTGGATTAGATATGTTTTTACTCCCTGCATAAATTTTGTTTAACTTCAGTCCTTATTTTATTTCTACAGGGACTAAATATAGAGACTAAAAATACTCACTTATAAAATAATAAAAAATAGGGACTAAAATTTAATAAAATTCATCTAAAGACTAAAATGAAAAATTCAAAATTTTATAGGGACTAAAAACATATTAAACCCTAAAAGTTCCAGCTTGGATATTAGCATTAATAAACTCAAGAACGAGAACCTAGTTGCTGAAGAATTTTCCTATTTCCCTGTCTGATTATTTGGTATATCTTGATTACAAACACTTGCTTGGATTTCTTTTGTTGCATTTTAATTATAAACTCCGACTCTCAATCAACGTGTTCACTCTCAACTGGGAAATGTGTATTTGTTGCATCTATTTCCGTCATTAACTTTCCACCCTAACAGGATATATAACTCGTGCACAATAGATTTCATATATTTGAACTATTAACCAAATAATTATTGGAACCCGAGTTGCAAAATTGTCATCCCTACTAAAAAATTTCCTATCATGACAATAAGAGCAAGGGGATTACACATGCATCTACTTTAGGAACCTCAATTTATTCAACAAAGTAAACTGTTTCTATCTTGGTTATTTGAATCAATATCTATCCATGGTTGTAGCATTAGTGTAGAACTTCATTTTCTTTTGCTTGTTTGGAAAGCTGATTTACTATCTCAATATCATATTTTGACTACTGTCTTGTTATCATATGATTACTATGGTCTATGCAGGCGAAGTTTGTATACAATATGGAAGATTTCCTGGACAAAGGCCAATGACGGCGACTCAAATGTCGAGAGCTACGCTTACTCAAGGGTGCAGGTTGAAGAGCCACAGTAATGACTGTCTACTTTCCTATCAAACACAGAAGAAATGCTTATAGCGGATTATCACAGAATATCTGTAACTCTTGATCATGGACCAAGTAAAACAAACCACAGTAAGCTAACTTTTATACAACATTAACTGTAATTATCTTATAGTTTGTATAGGTCCTAATCCTTATCACATGTCAAAGATCATTTTAGATCTGAAAGTGCTGTCTAGTTCAATAATGATATTTGTCCACCTGCTTCATACACTTGAAATGTTTGTTGGCACGAGAAGTTGTCCCAACTATTTAATTGATATGTTTGACTGTGTTTACAGAACTTACAAGCTTTGGTAAGGTATAGATGTTAGGATATTCCGGATATATTTTTGTGCTTATCACAATAACTTGAAGTTTTTAATTTTTAATTTTTCAAGTACAATAACATGAAGTTGATATGAGGTTAATATTAAATATAATCAAAATGATAGAAGGGGGGAAAATGTATAATGAAAAGATAGAATTTTTAGAGTATCATTATTTAAAATGAAAGAAAAACAGAATTCTGAAAAAATCAACAAGTGAGGTTCCTACCAGCTAAGGAAACATATTTCTTAAAAGTGGTTGGACAGTATAAACTACCTACTACTACTGTTCATATAGTCGCACAATTTGAAACACATTTTGGTTGGTGCAAAATATCTTCTTGTATAAAGCTGCCATTCCAGTTTGCAGCTTTTAAATTAACGGTGAAATGTGCTTTTGAGTGAGATTAGCCATTACAGCCTGGTTCCAAACACACTGCTAGTGAGTTGGATATGATTATTATCGTTGGTGAGTTCGTTTCGCTGCCTGTAAAATTTAATTTTGCATTTATTATAAATCTTATTTAGTGTGTTTTTGGAATTATGTTTGCTGCTTCCAATTCGAAGTTATTAGAGATAGCTTTTGTAGTGAAGTGCATTTCACTTGGAAAACATTTCCAAGCACTTGCTTAGAAGCTTCATAGTAGTAGACAACATTTATAGAATTATTTTGTTATTCATACGGCATGATTTACAAAGACATACTTTGGATTATTATTAGATATTATCAAGGTTTGTGTATTGAATTTGATTATTGATGAAATTTTACGCATGAAGTGTTTGATATGAATTTACTTTTTAGTCCCTTTGATGACCATTTTGGTGTTTATAAAATATTTGTGAATTAGCAATTATGAAGGCTTGTATTTTTGTATAGTTTGGAATTGTTTTAGCCAATGATTTACCCTCATTTGCACGAGGGCCATGAATTCTGGTCGCGACATTTAGATTGTGTACTATTTCTACGGATGGATTAGGGAGTGCCATCCAATTTGGTTTGAAGAAAAATAGGAGAGCAACTATACATAACTGACACTGAACACTTCCTTTTTAACATTTGAAATTGCTGTCAGTTATTCAGCAAAACTTCAATCTTGCTGTACCCAAAAAATGAAGCACTAGAATCTAGAAAGAAGAGTAGCGTTCCATGTAATGAGTATTCTTTTGACATCCTGAAGCGGTAGCGGTGGGGAATGGATTCTCTTATGTGCAATTTTCACATGAGAGAATAAATTGTGATCTATTATCACCAGTAAGAGAGAGGAACGCATAAGAAGATTACTTGAAGTGAACTTGAGTGTAAGAGATCACACTTTACTTGTATAGAAATCACACATGAGAGGATTCATTTCCGTAATGGTGACGGGTTAGGCCCCACTCTTTTATTGTGCCATTTTGTGGACACATGATTAGCATTGAAGTTTTCAATAAATAAGGTTAGAGTTTAAATTGTTGATTAGTCAATTAGTTTGTTATCGTATTAAGCTCAACATAAATGGAGCTCTTGGCGTCAAAACTAAAATGACATCATTCGAAAAACTCTAAATAATGCTGTCACATTTTACCATATTTTATTAATATAAATCAATCCATTGTGTTTTACTCTCCTTCAAGCTTCCAAAGGTCCCTTTCTCCTTTGGCCTCAAATCAACATATTCATAATCCTAATATGTAATTAGAGCTATATACTTGAGTCTTCTGTTTATTAACCGACTTCTGTTGTTTATGTCAGAAGAATCTTAGTCATCATTTTCATTATTTGATCTCTTAGTCACCACTATTTCGCCTTCCACACTCCTGTTTTTCGGTGCGAGACAACAACCTTCCAAAACCAAGGTTGCAACAGATGCAGCTTCTGATATCCAGTGTTTGTGATGGCTCCATGGCACTTCCAACATCACTCATCATGGAGTTTCTTCCCTCCATGTAGTTTTTTGACTCCTACGTTGATCATTTTTATTGTGTCCATGGTGATCTGCGTTTCTCTTTGCCAACGTGTTTCACAGCATCACTGCTTAGCTTTGCTTTTCTCTCTCTAGTAGATGATTGGACTTCTTTCTTGGTTTCATCTGATAGATTCTTCGTCTTCATTCTTCAGACCACAACATGTTGTTGAATTGAAGGAGGTTAATCACTTCAGTTTGACTCTTTCAGCTGTTAATCAACTTCAAAATCGATTATACCAAATCTGACAATTTTGCCATGGACTAAAATTACTAGTACTGCTATTACTTAGACACAGCGTTGAAGTTGATCGGACACATTGCCAGAGTCATTTCCTTTCAGCTCCATATTTGGTAGAGTCATTAATCAATGCCGTTTGGGCGGTAAGGAAGGCTGCTGCGACATGGATCAAACAATGTGGACTCACTGTCATGTGAATATTTGACATGGTGCACGAATGGGGTATGATGTGATTTTGGCTGATTGGTTCAATGCATACGATTTTGAGACAAAAACAAATTAAAGAAATTGTGATTAAGAGAATAAAAGTTGGTTATATCATTAGCTTGTTTTTTATTTTTATGATCTGAGTATCTTTTGTGTACGACTAGTAAGACAAATTTTTCGAACTTGATAGAACCATAACGACCTATAAAACACTTGTTTCACTCCCAAAGTTGTTTGATTTCCAACAATCAAGCAAGTGCAAAATTTGGTGAATGAATTACCCCTAGGTTCTTGGCTCTCCGTCAGACCGAGAAGGCATCATTTATTTCTTTCCATATCTTATACTACAGTACTAATAGATTCTGTATTTATGGTCCAATTTCACAAATAGAACAAAATAAAAGCACCATGTTCACAAATTGGACAACTATAGAGGAAATCATATGCCCTTAGTCAACACTATTTGAATATTTTAATTATCTTTTATCTTTTTTCTCCCATCATACAAAATACTTATTACTTTTCAATTTATATGGCAACGTCTAATCACATAGAAAATATGCTACAAGTACTCATCCCCCACATTTATTTTGAAGTTGGAAGAAGGTCCCAAAAGATGTGGGCAAGTTCAAATATGTAGTCATTGTTATATGGTTGTATTCTTATCAGATATGAAGGACCAATACTTGCGTGACAATCTTTTATTCATTCAAAAAAAAAGATGAAGAGCCACATCAAAATGTCCTTTTTTGTTTTACCTTGATGGTGAGTGTTGTGTTACCATGCTGTCCCCTTTTATGCTACAGAACCACGTATATAATAAGTTAAATAATTCTATCAGATAATGTTTTGTGGTAATGGATTCTTTTGTTTATCAACTTTTCATAAATTCTCCTATCAAAGTAAACTTTTCATAGATTCTTTCTCTAGGATAAATAATCACAAATTATAGATTTTTTCCATTAATGTGGACCAATTAAAGTTTATCTTTTACTAACCTTAAAATTTCCATTTTATAAAAAAATTATGATATAATTTATCATATGCATACTAGTTAGTTTATTTTGTTTCACTCATCCACCAAAATTATACGTTATGCTTGACAAATTCACTTGAATTTATAATTTATATTTTATATCTTGTAAGTTTATATTTTTTTAAAATTATTAGATAATCCTCTTTTTGTTACAAATTTATAATTCATTTTATAAATTTATATTTTTATAAGCTATTTTAAATAATTTCTAGTTTATTATTTTATTTTTCTATTTTTTCTATCATCTTTATTAAAATATTAGTTAAATATATTTATTTTACACGTTATGAGTTAGTTTATGAAATTAATTCAATTGTTAATTTTGCTAAACACTCAATGAACAAATTTATATTTTATCCCTTATTTTTGAACAAATAGAATCATAGTTTTTGATTGGAAATATTTCAAATTAGAGTTTTTAAAGAGTTTATATAGAATAATATCTTTTATTTTATAACTCAATTTTGTAAACATGAATTAGACGAAAAATTAATATGATATTGAAGTTTATCAATCAAATTATTGCCGTCTACGGTTTATATCCATACATTAAATTAAAAAAAATATTAAAAGTGAGAGAAAGATTTCAAAAGAGTGTATAAAACAAAAGTTTATAGAACAAAACTTTTGCATTCATTAAAAGAATAATCATTTACAGCAACAACTACTCTGGTATATAAATGAGATTAATATTTTAAAAATCAAACTCAATCTTTCACTGATGAAATTAATGTTACCAACTTTTTTTTGGTTCACAAAGCAAAATTAATTCATTTCATTAAGTAAATATTGTTCAATACAAAAAAAAAATTACATGGAAAATGCTACGTCTAGATCAAGAATTGATCATCTTTACTAACGAGTGGACAATCAAATTCGTTTGGCGTTTAATAAATTTTACTCAAAATTGAGAAAAGATTGTGCAATTCCTTACTAAGTCTCTTTTAAAACTAGTTTATACTAGGTTTGACTTGAGTGACTTTAGAATAATGGTGATTTGATAATTTTGTCTATTTTTCTCTAAATCAATCACTTTCTTAATAAATAATTTATTTTAAATATTTTCTCTCTCTGAATTACACTAAAATTAAACTAAAGTTACCAAATCACGTTATTTCAAAATCACTTAAGCCAAATCCATTTCTTAACATCATGAAAAATACTCTTTTATCCTTTGATAGAGTCATGAAACTAATTGTTGATAACATATGTAATTTACACTCTCCATACACGGAGT